GTCAGGATAGGCGCATCACACTCGATGATCTCTGCATTTCGGTTCCCGAGGTTTCCCGAACCACCATTTATCGGGTTTTGACAGAGAAGTTGAATTATCGGAAGGTGTGCGCAAGATGGGTCCCGCGAATGCTCACGGAAGACCACAAACGGCAGAGAGTTGACTCTTCCCGTGAATTTCTTCGCCGCTATGCTGACGAAAAGGACAACTTCTTGAATTCAATTGTCACAGGCGACGAAACCTGGGCGTACCACTTCACACCTGAGACAAAACAACAATCACGTCAGTGGCGGCATTCCTCTTCGCCTAAGCCTCGAAAATTCAAGCAAACACAGTCTGCCGGTAAAGTCATGGCAACTGTGTTTTGGGATCGAAACGGGGTATTGTTGGTTGACTTTATGGAAACCAGGACGACAATAAATGCTGAGAGATATTGTGAGACACTGAGAAAACTCAGGCGGGCGATTCAGAACCGGAGAACAGGGATGCTGAGCAAGGGCGTAAGCATTCTCCACGATAACGCTCGCCCCCATGCTGCCCGAGAAACCATCGCTCAACTGCAACAGTTTGGATGGAACATCATCACCCATCCACCCTATAGTCCGGACTTGGCGCCCAGTGACTACCATCTCTCTCCAAAGTTGAAAGAACATTTGTCTGGAAAGCGCTTCAACGACGACGATAAGGTGAAAGCTGAGGTTCGAAGTTTCCTGAACAGCATGGAGGTGAACTGGTATGACATGGGCATACAAAAATGCATCGACCGAAATGGCGATTATGCAGAGAAATGAGTACATGTTCAAGATTCAACTGATGTATCCAAAATTGAAAATAAATGTTTATTTTATATTTTCAAACATAGGAGACCTTACTTTTGGAATTACCCTGCAATAAAAAATGTAATCATTTACTAAAATTGCTGTGATGTCTACAATTTTTGTGATAAACGAACCAAATAAACGCTGCTTTTTTTCTAGAAAGAATATAGAATCAGATATTGTAATTTACAGACTTTATAAAATGTGTAAAAATTTTTAGACTGATTCCAACTAAAACATTCCCCAATTTGTCGTCTGTCTACAAGAATTCATACAGTTCTTGCAAGTATGAATGCTGCTCATATGGCAACACAGCAGACGCTAATGTAGCCGAGGTTTAGTCTCGCATTTCCAATGTCTAGTCACATACGTTCTTTCGGCATGCACAGATGTGGGCGGGTATCTATGCGTTTATAAGAACCCTGATTGTTTATTATCGCTTATGGCTACACAACAAATTCTCTGTTCTCACTCTGCTGCTGTTAGTTATAAGAACTTTCAAGGTCAGCATCCTTATACCACAGCCAAGCAGTGTCAAAGCTTAGCATTCTGCGAAGTTGTGAACCAACCATTGCGTGGTCTCGTTTGGAAGACTCGGACATATTTCAACTCATAAATGACTCCAAATCAGATTGTTGTACCAACAATTCTGAGAGTGGCATTGAGGAAAGTGAATCAGAAATTGATTTCGACGAAGAACCATCATCTTGCTCCGCAACCTGGGGACAACCACACCAGCATGGCAAGAGGAGTGTGAATAATTATTCAGGTGGAGCTGTGGGCAAACTGTGGCAAACAGTTATAGCATCTGTCGTCGAACCTGGAAATGGACAAATAAACTATTTTTCCCATCTCCTGGATCTGAACAGTTACATCCTGTNGACAGACAACTTATAAAGTTGATGTCCAAAAATCA